ATCCTTTGCGGGCCCACTTCGTCGTGCGTTGATATAAGAGAGTTTGCTTACCGACTTTCTCTTCCCAATAAAGACCCGCCCCGTTCGACAACTTATAGACTGGAAGACCCCAACTGGATAAGATTAGATCGGGCGGCCCAGAAGATATCCTACCCAGGGTTCCTTTTCTCCCCCCGCTCTCCCATTAACCGTTTAAGTATTTCTATCCTTTAGGTTTGGGTGGGATTCCCCCCCCCCCCGAGATGCTGAATCTAGCTTTGAAAGACAATTGCTAGAAACTCGGCGGGAGGGTCCCCTTTTCTCCGGCTGACAACGCGTCCGCCTAAAGCCAAGTCAACATGGGGCGCTTTTGACGGACGGCCCCTCAACACCGGAATAATAATAATACATTTTGAGAACCATGTATGCACAAGATTATGTACAGCAGCTGCCCAGGTTAACCGCGTCAATATGCAAAGAATGACTCGGGGCTACATAGGCATTAGCATCCCAGCGGCATACACTCAAAGAGTCCGTGGAGAAGGGAATACGCCATATGCCATGTTCCATGTAAAGTAACCTGGATGACCTATCAGATCAGTCGCAATGCACGAATGTGCGGTGATGGAATTTTTCGAACAAGGTAAACTGGAAAGAACCTTACATCCTGCGTGGTCTGCATATGGAATGTAAACTTTTTGGATGTTGCAATAGTGAAAGAACTTGGAATTCAACCGTCGTACAGTGCGCGATATACGGAAAACTAACATTCAGACAATTGCCGCCGTATTTGTCATCGCATATCTGCCAGGAGATGCAAGTTGAAGTTGATTCAAGAGTATTTTGATGGTTAAAGAGCTGAACATAGGCAAGGTAACATAGGCGTACCAGTATCCGAAAAGATCTATCCACCAGGGAGACTCGAATAAAATCTTGTGAGTAACTTCTATCATCTGTTAACTAGCTAACGGAGATTCTTCAGAAGAACGAAACAATTTTTACATCCTAGTTTGGCTCTCGCCTCCTCTCCCCGCTCTTCGGCCAGACATCCATGTCGCGCAACCTACACAAGATTTGCCACTCGTGGAGACGCTAAGATACTTTAGAACCATTCACAAGATCCCTCCGGCTAATCAGGAAGCAGACACGGGCTCATGTGGGATCAGCTGAATTGTCTGATCATCTTGTTCGCGGTGGACCAGACCCTGCATATACATAAATGCCCTTGTTGGCGCCTAGAGGGGGGCCCTGTCAGAGCAAAATGGAGGAGACCAGGCGGGAAGATGACGCGCTTCTGAAACATAACGTTAAAATGTTGCAGTGTCGGCGTGCATTATGTGTTTTGCTAGTGGGATGATGCCTAGAAAGATGTCAATGATATAAGAGAAGGGAGAGAAGGTCAAAAGCACTTGCACCTATCTGTCCATCTCACTAACCATATAACTAGTTAACTATCCACTAGATATCTTCGAGTGGATATTCGTGGTCTGTGCCACAGATTTTAAGGCTTTGCAAGACCTCAACTTATTATCCGGAGCAAATGAAACATCTACGCGGCTGTCGCTGTCCTGTCTTATCTGACGTAACCGTAGCACTGGGCTATCAAATTTGATAGAAAAAGTTCTGGGATATAGCTAGTTACCTGAGCTTCCTCACTGGTGTAATTACAGTTTTGATTGTCTGCATCAGCGGGATATGGCTGTACTTGGCTGAGTCCTGATTGGGCGTTTTACCTCCACTATCTCTTGTGTGGTGTATCAGCCGTGGGATAAATAATACTCATCAAGGGGTATTCAATCCTTCCACGTATCCTGGTGCAAATCCCTCTCTGTGAACCATTGAGTGCTGCAATTTATCTCTTCCATTGGAAGCGCCTCGGCCTTTGGCGGATTGGTGTTAGCGCGGCCGGCTTTGACATTTTTTGCTCAATATCAAAGGAAATGTCTTTCTCCTTCACTTTAATTTTGGTACTATTCGACACGAGGCCTGGAGCTTACAGAGGATGCTTGTTTCTCCTCCTGTCAGCTTCCCGCCTTCGAGTTTCCTGGATTCGGACATAGGACGGAAGCTTATTGCTGTACATTTTGAACTCAGGCTTTCTGTCAACCCGTCGACGGATCGCCATTCTCCGCAAAAGGGGGTTTACTTGCCAACCAGTTTTAGGAAAAGAAAGGCAAATATATTCGGACGTGCCGATGAATTCGTTAAAACACGATATGTACGGTACCACTGTACATCAGTGACCCCTTCAACATGCATAGACCCGACCTGGATGTACAACCGTACCCTGCAAAATCTGCATGACATTTTCTGTTTGGATCCCATACGAGGAACAATCCTTCGTCCAATCAGCTGATATTAAGTTCAGACAGGCCATTGCATATAAACCCCCAAACATACTTCCAGCTATTCCAGAGGCCAACACTCGAGAACACATCCACCCCAGTATCCATGCCAGCCAGAACCTGCAACTGATCTTTATTCCTCAAGGGCACTCACGAAGGTCTACCAAGATGACGACGGGAGTGGCAGCGGGACGGCCGGCAACTCATTCTGTATACAACTGCTACGTTGCAAGGCTCCCTTCAGAAGAACAGGAGGAAAATCAACAAATGGATGAAACGACCAATAAATGAACATGAAGCTTCGTGGAAGAGCCCACCACCAAACATGTTTTAGAGGCAAGTGTTCGGTCTTATGCAAAGGCCAGACCCGGTCTCTTGAGGGATGATGAGCGGGGATTTGATAGTCCCGCTTACGCGGACAGAAAACGTTCTTTACATTCCAGCATAGTTACATACCTGACATATTGGATACATGGATGAATGGATCAAAGAGGCAAACCCTTGACAAGATATCTGCTGAAGGTAAGGGTAGGCACATCGATGCGTGTGATGATTTTTTTGAGGTTTGTCCATGAACCTAGCGTTGTTTACCTAGGTTGTGGATAACTGACAAGGTAGAAGAGATAATGAACGCCACTGATTGATAAAGTATGATGATTGAATAGGAGGGGCAATGGCCAACCATCCGAGATTGATATTATTATTGAAGAAATGGGTGGTAAATAATGTTCCTATTTGCGTCCAGCCTTGAAAGCAAAGGCTGACAAGAAGAACCTGAAGGGGAGAAAAGGGGGAACCGGGGGGGGGAAGAAAAGAAAAGAAAAGAAAACAAACCACAGTCGATCCAATTACATACGATAGCAATCTTGAAATCCCAATGGACCAATGACGATTGATTGATATTCTGGCGTTTATTAGACGCGGCGTATTTGGTATGAACGGCGCTTAAGCATTTAACTAATACATTCACTAACGCTAATTAACTAACTATCAGACAACAAGCTAACGTCAACCCCGCTTCCTCCCTCAAATTAAGCACAAATCTATCCCACTAGGCGATACCTCATGGCTTTTTAGCACTTCCAAAACACGCTCAGTCCGAACTACTCCCGAACAATTCCCCGCTCTTCAAACCACCCCAGCGGCATGAGCATCCCACCACACAGAGGTGGGAGGATTAGATACCTGTGGGTAGGCAGCACTACCCAAAGACGGGAGAGGGTTATCTCTCCCGCTTGATTTACGTTTGTAGTAAGTCCCTGGATTGATGCGGGTTGGCAGACGATGGGCTTACACCAAGGAGTAAGACATGTGATGCCTCCTGAGAAATTTCGGCATGAACGGAGTGACGTGAGGGATAATCCCGGACCTAATCCGTAAAACCTGGTTTGTCGATGTGCTCTTCTCGAGGCTGTGGCGTATAAATGCACACGCTTACAGTGTATGCTCCCCAGATTTACCATATTGGCGGAATTTGTTCGGATAATTTTGAGGGGAAGTGAGGTTTATCCCAATACGAAGTCAATAGAGAATCTGAGAAAGGTAGAAACGATGTAATGACACTTCCCATGGCTCCTCTTATCATTGCTAGACGGAAACTATATGGCGAAATCTCTCGGAACAAAACTCCTTTTTAGGAGAGACGATTTCAGGTAATACCTACGGATCCTCGGAGCAGAAAGCGCAAATTAAAGACACTCTCTGAACAAGACGACCGTACACACACAGCCCCTAAAGGGCGGACACATGGGAATTATCAATCATATTTCAAAGCCGCCCTGGCAAGGCGGACAGGCGGACAAGTCTAGAAGATAGTTGAAGTTGCCCGTTTGAATTACTAATTTTGCAGATAATTTCTGAGCAGGGATTCTAAATAGGGATGAAAATGGAGGGGACATACGAATGGAGTTGTTTATCCCGGTCCTGTATCTTTCTCTTTCCTAAGATGTATTCTGATGGGTGAAAATAACTTCGAGTGTTCGATTTTCACCTTTGTTCGAAGATCTATAATGCTTCATCGTTGAAGATGTGCCCCCTCGTAAAATGTTACGCTCTGCAGCACCCAAATATGAAGACCAGAGAAGGACCCCAAAGAGCCCCGAATCCACTGGCTTGAAAATGGTCTTAAAATGGTCCTGACGGCGGATCTCGATGGGGAAAGTTTGGAAGTCATCAATATCGATGTCCTGGAATTCTATATTGCGGAAGGTTCGTCTAAGAAAGCAAGAGGTTGATAATGCATCCTCCGGGATCTATAAGATTGGTAGATTGGTCAATATGTTCTTCTACCCCGAACATCTTTCGGTGATTGATATGCATCCAAGAAAAAGGGATGCGTCAACGAAACAACGTCGTCACGGAGGCGAGTGATATCCCGCTAAATAGAGAGAAAGTTATGGCGGTGAGCAGACGGCGAAGGTCTGGATCATTAGGTTTTATGCGAGGTTGGTATTCCCCTAAATGGGAACGAGATACACGTTATCAAGCCGATTTTTTGCTCCTGAAACGTCGAGGTAAACGTCAAGTTGCCTCATCGGAGACAGAGAAATTGGAATCGGAACTTGTCATTCTGGCATATCTTTAAAGGAATCAGCTTGATAATGACACAGTGGGCATTCACCAAAATACCTCGTCGTTCAAGCCCAGCTCAAAAGTCCAGTCTAATGGGGAGCTAATTAGTGGCGTTTTAAGAGGGGCTGTTATATAAGGATATGCAGCTTCGCAAGACCCATGGTCTTTTGCTCATAAACACGAAGAAAGGGAATCTCGAAAGCAGCATGGGCTGCCTGGCAACTAATCTAATTAGCGTACTTCTTACACCGTGATTCTGGAGATCTCTTACACGGTTAAACACTACATTTTCTCTTTATCAGAACGAAGCAGTGATGGGATTCGCAATCCACAGAAGATATTGAATATCTGAAGACTTTTTAATCCTCTGCTAATAATATACAGGGTAGCAATATTGAATATTTCTGGCAAGTAAAAGGGACTTCCAACAGCAATGTTGTTGCCCTTACCCTAGGAGTCATTCCAGTTCTAAACTTCGCCCGTTATTAGGCAGGGATGTTTCATATTTGCCTCTTCACCAAAGACCAGCGCGTAGATAGCGCTCTCAACCCCAGCAAATTTTGATGTAGGCGTGAAATACCCAAACTCCGCAAAGTGGCGAGACTGCAGTGTTCGTTTTTGATGCCTGCCTTGCGTCTGCCATTCCCGGAAAAAAGCCGAAGGAGATCCCTTCTGTAGTTAGCTAGGAGCCACTTTTGTTATGTTGCAATAGATGAAGTGGGAACTAAGTGACAAGCAATTCCAGAAGTTAGCAACCCGGCGATATGCCTGTTAAGTCAGGTGATGAAATAAAGATACGTACTAAACAACACACACACACACTCTCTCTCTCTCTCTTAAAACAGAGGGACGCCTAACTGCAGACAAGCAGCGGATCTATTATTGACGTGTCTTCTTGATCAATAGCATATCTTGACCAAGGAGAGCTGTGAAGACTAAGGCTTTGTGATGATGGCATACGGTGAGATCATAACATGTAAAAGTTAAAATTGATATAGTTGTCACTGGACAATTTCAGCAGCAATAATGCCTCCAAGGGGCTTGAGTGAATCCTGATGGGAGTATTCCAAGCCGAAATTCCAGCGAATTAAATGGGCAAACACAGGAATTGTTGATCTCCTGTAATTGAGCAATTTGATTAGAGAGGGCTGGCAGATAAATGGCTTTCTATAAAGAGCCTTTAGTATTAAGGGTTGCTTTTGATCTGAGTGACAGCCTGATCATTCAAAAGACTCCAGCAGAAATCGAAGTTACTCAAATATATCTTGAGCAACCGCTGAGATGAAAGTATTAAATGAAGGAATCAATGGAAAAGCCATGGTTCAGTAGACGGAGAAATTGCAGAGTGAAAATAGATATCAAGATGATGTGAGATAACTACAGATCAAGTGTGTGGGAAATGGTGGGGAATCTTCGGAGCCTTCTGAAAACAGAGGAAAAAAGAAACAAAAGTCGCGTTTGAGAAGAGCATGTCATGAAGCCCCGATTGAGAACTCAATCTTATTATGAAACCAAAACCATGTACTGAGACAAACATTGCCGCTTTAAAAGGAATAATGAAATAAACTCGATTCAATTTCTTTTCTTCCTCATCTCCTCGCTGTCGACAGGTAGTTGTGGAACATGCCTTGGCCTTTGGGGTTGATTGTGCCTAGGGAAAATTAATAGAGATGATTTTTTTTTTTTTTTTCCCCAAAAAAGCTGCCGTCCGATTCCAAGATTCCATTGCTGATAAGATTGTCATTTATCTTGTTCCAAGCTATTATGTTTCGACTTTCGAAAGCAAATTCCTCAAGGGTAACTGATTGTCTGGCGAAATGGTTGGAAGGATATTCTATCACATCTGGAATAGGAGAAGATGGAAAAGAATTGCTGTATGCAGCTCTCATGCATGAAGATTCCATCGCTTTAGCCATCACACAGCGTAAGGCAGAATTATTGTTCTGCAAGTGTTGAAGTGACTCAAATGGTATATAGATATGGAGGAAAGGGTATGTTTGACTGAACGCGAAGAGCTTCGGGGGAGGAAGTCTCTATTTAAGTATGCGGTAATTCGTCTCCCGGTAATTTCACCTGCTGAGGTGCCCGGGGTTTTGCATTTCAGTGGGCAACAAAGAGTAATATCTGATACTGAGGAATTTTCAGGCTCGGAAATAACCCTCATTGCACAATTGCAGATTTTTACCAATCCGCAGAAAGTTTGCCCTTGTTTAAGTCTTAGTTGCCGTCCGGAAATCTCCAGAAATGCTCGTCGATATCTTCCTTCCAGAAAACAATTGTCTCTGAAACAATCCAAATTGGAAAATATCCCGGGAAGCTGTGGGCGCGGGATAAAGTATTGGGAAATGCCACCTGAGATGGTTGAAAGACCAAGGTATTTTGGTTCCTCTTGAAGATCGCTTTCATTCAACTGGTAGACGGAATATCTCCATTCTCTCTGCTCACATTCCTCCATTTCCTCCAGCTTTCTTCATCATTCCCATTTCCATCGCGCCATCGCCTCCTTCGTCTTTTCATCTTAATCATCTCCTCCGTCTTCTCCGTCTTCCTAGTCTTCCTCCCCTTGCTCACCGTTCTCGTCATCGCCAGACTCTCCATCTTCCATGTCTGCTTCTAGAGTTCCTATTAGAAGTAATTGGTGCTTTCCCAAGTAGATCCCTTCACCTTGCTGGGCATTTACCCCAAGTTGTAGCTTTCTTTGATGGTCCTGGTATTGATTTGGCCAAAGGCCCGTTAAGACTTGTAAATGCAAGCCGGAAGGGCCACTTCTATTGCATCCGCAAAATTCGACTTTGCTCTAGGCCCAACGCTCAACAGTTCATTCGCCATTGGGTTTTCCTGACACAGCTCCTTTCTCTTTCGCCTCCGAGGCTGCATTCCCTGTACGACATGTTCCTGCTGATGAACCCCAATTTTGATTTCCCCGGTTAAAGTAGTTCGCCACGACCTGTCTTGGCCTTATATCTCAGATAATCTTCTCGATCGCCAATCGTGCCAGGATGCTTTGGCCAAATATTTACCTAAAGGTTCACCAGCGCTTTCGAGGGCGGCGAGATATCAGTCGAACGCTTCCTCATCTGCAGACCTTGTCCTGGTTGTTGGTTGTTGGGAAAGTCTTTGGGCTGAGTGGGACTCCGACTGACAGGCAATTCAGAAATGAACTGGGTGCCTTTTAGATTATTGGAAAGGCAGGCACTCATAAGATCATAATATGGGTCATAATTTGTCATGACCGTGATTAAAGCTTCAAAGATTTACCGTACCTGAATTGGCGTGGCCTCAGACTCTCATGTGGTCGTACTTTAGTTGACGAAGGTCAAGAGAACTAGAGATGTCTTGTGCGTTTGTATGAAGAGCCTCGCTTATCAGGGCTGCTGCTACCGTGAAGAGCGTGTACATTCAAACCGGCAACATGAATATAGTTGTAGAATTTGGTTTTTTGTCCTGAGCTTAGATACATTATTAATGTTTTGACCCGCGGTTCTGTGATGTTTAAATGTATGTATGATCTTTACCTAGCCAAGAGCATTTCAAGCTTTTTCTCCAGCCCAAGTTAGCTCATGCGGTGCTTCAAGATCGGGACTCCCTCCCCCAGCATTTTTATGGATAGTGCCATGAGAACTTGGATTCAGGCTCTGTTAAATGACTGTCGCCGTCAGGCAAGGTTGATTGCGACGGGCACTTTCAGTGTCAGTGACGTAGTTAGTTAATTGACATGGCGGGCGCTGGGCCGCTATGGACCAAATGACTTTTTATTAAGCAAGCGGTAAACCTGTCATGAAAAACTCCTTCAATTACCGATACTCAGAGATGGAGAAATATCTGAAGCTGAATGCACTGTTTAGGAGAGAAACGTAAAGTCAGACCGTGACATTTAAAACTATTTCGTTATCCGTCGCTGGTCGATGTTGGTCAGCCTCTTGCGAACTTTTTCCACATCCAATTCGCTTGCTGGGCTCAGGCGTAAGACGAACCAACCAGCAACACCAACAGACGCGGTATCTCTGCCATGTCATGACTCTGCAGAAATCCTCTTTAAGTCTTACCGTCTGTCGTAAAAGCGCTGCTATTAAGTTCTACAGGCTTATTCTACTCCCGGTCCTCGCTACCCTGCCATATATTCAAATCTGCCCCTCACTGCTCATGCTAGCGTCGAAAATGCAAGACGGAAAATCCACAGGAGCTGGGTTGGTGAACTTGGAAGCGGAATTATCTTGTTCGGTAAGGAGAGTATTCAAACTCGGTCCTCGAGTTTGGGATATATCTCTCCTACGTCTTATTATGCGCGCTTGGTAGTACAGTGACCTAATTTGCCGCAGATATGCACAGACATTCTATTTCAACCATTAACCCTGCTCGATTGTCTTCATACCTTCTGTGGCGTGTGCCTGAAAGAATGGTTCTCGTGGCAAGTGTCACATCCACCTAGCTCCAGTAAAAGCGCCCAAGCCACCTGCCCGTCATGTCGAGCCGCAATCCGAGACACTAGACATGATGCCAAAGTTACTACACTTCTTGACTTATTTCTACAGTCAAATCCACATAGAGCCAGGGGCGCTGAAGAGAAAAAGGAGTTAGAACGGAAATACAAGCCTGGGGAAACTATTCTACCGGTCAGACCCTCCAATGCTGCTCCCATGTCTGACTCAGATGGGAACGAAGAGGATCGTAGATTGCTAGAAGATGTCAGACAAATGAGTCTTAGGGATGCAGACCGAAGACATACCCGTGTGGCATCTAGTTCTCGAACTTCACCATCTCGTACCCGCAGTCGAACTTCAGGGAATCGTGAAGCAGACCGTCAGGAAGAAGCGCAGGGGCGGAGACGGCATGCGTGGCGTGCTGCCAGCCAACAGTGGTCATCCCCTGTCCAGACTTCAAATACAAGGCGAATTGAACACCAGGCAAGCTTACGATCTTTGTTAGATACTTCAGATGGAGAGTCTGTGATTGAAGAGGAAATACTCAGACAGATCATAGACGAAGGCCTCTTGGATGGGATAGATATACGTAGCCTGGATACTGAGCAGGAAGATGAACTTAGCGAACGTATCGCAGAAGCGTATCGAAGGAGACACCTTCGCCGGTCTATTGCTCATCAGAGCACACATAGCGAAGGTGAAGGGGGTTCACGCCATCTTAGAAACCGACAACCCAGGTCAAATAGCGATAACGAGCGCCCACCGGTATCTCGACCACATTTACTTGAGGCGCCCGTGCCGAGAACCGGGTCGTCCAATCACCAACAGCGAAGTTCCTCTGATCGAGGTGGGAGGCGTAGAGCAACCTCTCCATCTCCAAGAACTGCTGCCTCTTCGGCTGAAGCTCTTATACAGCCAACGGCAGGGCAGTCGAACGATCTATCCTCTCTACGTTCCTCCCATGCCAATTCCTCTTCAGAGCCTGTCCGCCATCAGACAGCATTACCACTCTCATCCCCTAGACGGAGTGGTGAATCTGATCAGAGGGCTCGCCAGACTGGCATAAGGTCCACAGATCGTCGGCAAATATTAGGAACCCCAAACTCAACATCTCCGATTACAACTACAAGCCCCCAGATAGGATCTTCTAGTCAACTAGTCGCAACACCTCCATCTATGTCTGTCCCTCAATCGAGTGAACGTCATCCATCAATTGACGGACGCGATGCTAACGTACCCTCCTCCTCTAGGTCTTCATCCTCCCGACCGACATCATCTCGAAGCGATCCAGCAACTCACTCAAATGAAAGTCTTTTCTCCGAGCCGTCTATATCCTGCAATCGATGCGATAAACGGAACATTCAGTATGAAGTTTACAAGTCGTGCACTCGATGCGGCGATGGTAATTACAATCTGTGTTTACTATGTTACCGTTTAGGCCGAGGATGCCTGCACTGGTTCGGATTCGGGGACAGTGCTCAGGTTCTATTTGAAGAAAAATACCCAACAAGGGTTTCAGTAGTCCGGGAACCGCCGCATGTTTTGCAATCACGGAAATATATGCGCCCACAAGGAAATGTAGCCCACACTCGGCCCAGAAGCTCCCGAAGACGAATTAGTGACGACCCTGTGAAAAGGTTCCAGAGCGGCTTGTTTTGCGACATGTGCCAATCATTTGCAGACGACTGTTTTTGGATATGCAGCACTTGCAATGAGGGAGAATGGGGGTTTTGTAACAGCTGTGTCAATCAAGGCAATTGCTGCACACATGCACTCCTGCCAGTTGCCCATGTTCGTGAGGCGGATCCTGCCCAGTCACGCATATGGACATCCTCATCTGCCACTAGCCAGCCACAAGGAACCGCATCCAGCCATATATTAGGATCTACCATCGCAATTGGCAGCGGCCGTTACCGTCCACTGACTTTTTCTACAAAATGTAACAATTGCTCCTGCCCGATTCCTCCCTCGACAAGCCGCTTCCACTGCACAACATGCAACAATGGAGACTATGACCTATGTACAAATTGCTACCTGAAACTCAGAGCCAACGGTAAAATCAGCAAAGACAATGGGCCGAACGGCTGGCGGAGATGCTTGCAGGGCCATCGAATGATGATCGTCGGATTTGAGGACCACGCGGACGGCCAGAGACGAGTTGTTGTCAAAGACATTGTAGGAGGACATGCGCTGAGAGATGAATTGGTGGGAACTGCAAATGCAAACCCAAGTACCCATTCCAGCGCCTCATTCCCCAAGCCCACGCGCCAAGATTCCGGAGACTGGATGTGGAAAGACGAAGGGATGGGCACCAGCATGACGCACCGTCGACGCATTTCACGGTCACGAGCAGCCTGGTCAAACTCCTCGCCTACGACTCCTACGGAACCCACGGCCGAAACGCCATTTTCCACGCAATTCCCGCCGTCGGGTGGTATTGGGCTGCGTCTGGTGGCACTCTGGTCTTATTACCCTGACCTGGATGTGACGGATGAGATTCTCTTCCCTCGCGGTGCGGAGATTACGGAGGCGGAGAATATTAACGATGACTGGATGTGGGGGTGTTATGCTGGGCAGAAGGGCTTGTTTCCTGGTGGGTATGTAAGGGATATAAGGGCGATGGCCGGCTTGGAGTCAAGGGGTGCTGTTCAGGGGGGGGGGGGGGGAATGATGGGGCAAATAATGAGACTATGAGATATTGATGTTTTTTTCCATCAATGAGAAGGTATCGTCAGACGGTCTGTTTCTATAATCAACAATGATGTTTTATGAAATGTTTAATAGCAGATAACTGTAGTACGCCGTTTTCCAGAGGGAAGATCAATGAGTATCTAATGTTATTCAATTTTATATTAAAGATACCTATAATACGCATAATATCAATAACTACAACTAACTACGCTAGTTCAACATAGTTTTCAATGAAGTTAAACCGTCCAGTTGATGGGTTGGTCGCAAGAAGTTCTGACAGATAAAAAAAAAAATCTGCCAAAAAACATCGGGAGAATTTACCAAAACATTTAAAACCTCAGCATCCTCAGAATTATAATTGAGTGAGCCCCAACTCATAACTAGAAGCCCCAACCACCAGGCGTCAGGGAACGCTGGAGGTTCAGTTAAGCGAAGGGGCCTGCAGGACCCTCGCCTAAAAATTTAAGGTACGTGGCTTGGCACATTCCAGGGGTAGGCGAGGCGGGTCAGAACTTTAAAAAAAGAATCGGATCGGATCGGACTCCGAAGACGATCCGTGAGTTATTAGTTACTGTTCGCAAGCCAACTATTGATTTGATGATTGCCGCATGGGAAAAATCTCCGTCCCCTATTCTGTGCGTGCTATGTTCTCATTTTCAGTCCTGGGACTCTGAGAGGACGACGCGACGCCTCGACGCCTCTAGCGGCCAAGCGACCGGATTCCAAAGGATGCTGCGTTTTCCATTTTCTCTAAAATTTATATTATGCCCACGAATGGTTTTCTATTCTAGATAACCCATTTGCAGCTGAGCTCCACGTCAAAACGCACACTTTCCATTGCAAGCAACTCTAAAAATGTCCACCCTCACCACCAGCGGCAGCTTCACCACCGACGTCCCCACCATCCTCTGTCTAACCATGACTCTCTCCCTCCTCCCCTTCGCCGGCCTCCTTACCATCTTCCTCATTCCATCAACCAGTGCCAAATACCACCGCATCCTCTTCTGTTGGCACGCTTATGACGCGCTCACCCATTTCGTTGTTGAGGGCTCCTTCCTCTACAACTGCTTCTTCTCGTACACGACAATCGACAGCGCCACCGCAAGGCATATCCGCAATCCCCCCTTCCTCAACCACCCGCAGCGCCTGTATGGAGCGGCGTACGGCACGGGTCCTATGGCTCGTTTGTGGCAAGAATACGGGAAAGCGGATAAAAGGTGGTTGGGGGCGGATGCAGCCATTATTTCCCTGGAGCTTCTTACCGTTTTTCTGGGCGGGCCGGCGGCGACGTATATTTGCTATCTTGTCTACAAATCATCTTCTTCCTCTTCATTGTCGACGGCGCAAAGGGCAAAGTGCCAGTTTCAGATGTGGTTCGTGGCGGTCGGACTGGCGGTTGCAGAGCTGTATGGTGGATTCATGACGTTTGCGCCGGAGTGGTTGACCGGGAGTCAGTCGTTGAATACGGGCGATCCGATGTTTCTATGGCTTTACCTGGTGTTTTTCAACATTTTGTGGGTGTTCTTGCCGATATGGGTGTTAAAGCAAGGGTGGGAAGAAATCAAGGGGCAGGTTGTTGGTGCTGCGTTATCCGGAAAGAAGGGGACTTCCAAGAAGGAATTGTAGGGAAATATGGACGAGAGAAGGGGTGTGTATTGTGTCGGGAGCTTCGGTGATGCAGGATACCCGTTGCCTTAGCGGTTTACACATATTTTCAACATGGCAGATATGCAGGTTAAGAATATGGCATCATCGGTTGCATACGATGTAAGAGTGTCTTCTTTCGTTGCAAACTTCTGCGATCGCGAATCATGATTTTCTCTCTTCCTCTTGTATACTCCCATGATTTCCAAAAGTAGTGTTCAATCGCTCAATGCTCAGTTTTTTCCGTCCCCCCAATCGTAATTTTATTCTATATATAGCTCGAAGTCGGATCGTACAGACGCTGCGCTAGAACTGTAACTATCAGATTGGACGAAAGATAAAGCTTGATCGACAGGATCGGAGTGCGCCCATGGTTTGACGTCACAGGTCCTGGGTTTATTTTATGTATTATGTATGTATCATTGCATAAACATCGCATGTCCCACGCATCAGGAATTCTCCCGGTTCCAGGTTGATTCAAATCATCAAGAGGTCAGCATTATCCATTGGCTGATCAGCGCAACGTCACCGAATGTGATGGCGATGGAAGATGGCAGTGGGTTTATTATGTTTAAAGTTGGTTTCTCTTAAGTCACAAGTTAAACGGATGCGAGGGTTGAGAGGCATGGTCACGTGGTACTCACAACATGAAAATGAAGCTGTGATCATGACAAGAATTTCCGTGAGAATTGACACAGAGTGAGCCTTACACCCATCCACTGTCTTTGGATTCCCTTACAACTTTTGGGGAAAATGTACCAGCGCGGATAAGAAGCAAAACCACTGCCAGCCAACATCGCGGCTTCTCTGTTGTATTAAAGAGCTCAGTGAAGATTATATATTCTCTGCCACTGCGAACCATATCAAAACAATTGGAAAGATTGATGCCTCCACATTTCTTCGAGCAAGATACTAGCTTGCACTCCCGTGTTCTCCTGAGTCCTATTATTATTCTCTACAACCTCATATCAGGACTCCAAGAGCGTCGTGAAGAGGACCGGATTCGTTGGAAGTTGCTTTTGCTCACAATTGTATCGCCTCCAAGAAGTATGGAAGAACAGCAATTACCGTTATTTCTGTGGTGTATTCGTCAACACTACCATCGAGTCTGGCCTTAATTGGAGATGATGTAAACAAATATTAGACAGAATGTGAAACATCCCGCTTTTCTTACGAGAATAAAGCATAGATGGGTGCTGGCACTGAAGTCTCTAGATTAATGGTGTTTTTTTTTTGACAGTTAGTTACATGATACAAGAGTGAAGTTTGTTTGGCTCTTTGCTAGGCCCTCGAAGTCTGAGCAGGTTCCCTGTTATACGGGCGATAGTTATCTCCCATTTCAAGATGCATTGCTTGCTAGCACACGGCTCCCTTTTTGCTCTCTAAAGAACAAGCTTCTAACCGGACTCACAACTATGTCTTGCGCAGATATGGGGGAGTGCCCGGACATCTCCCCCCCTCATGGTTAATTACAGCAGGGAATCCCTTGCCGCCTCAGCCTTGTGGGACATGTCCGTGTGCACTGGGTTAAGCCAGGAAAGAGATAATGATCCTCTAGTCAAAGATTGGGAGCTGGTTGTTTAATTGTGCTTCCAAAAGTTTACCACCGCACACGAGTAAGTCCACCCCGACGAAGCAATACTGCCATGGACGAACAGATGGGAGAAGAAAATCCCGCTGACAGGCCCTACGCATGATTTTGTAAGTAAATTCATCGAAGGAACGAGGCATTTTAGAGGCAACTGCTTGGGTAGGCACTGATCTAGTTGCAACTGAAGTCTTTCAGCACGTCTGGGCATTGCTGGATTTCCTGCCAACTGAGCGTGTCCAAGAAAGCATCACATCAAGCACCGGGATACACTCTTGTTCGCTTCAGCTGAAGCGGCGATCTGTATGTGGTTTACCAAATGCACCGGTTTTGACAGTTACTTACTTCATACAGTACATCGACAATTTCAAAACCACCCGATTGATAACTTTGGTGTCGCCTGTGCCAGGGGGTGCACGACTGATCGCAGGCTACGTTTCTAGCAAGGATAGCGGTATAGACACACCATAATTACACCTAACTAACACTTAACAAAATTCGATTCTCCGTCGCTTGAACTGGGTGTTCTAGATGACTGCTTCTTCACCGCGAATTCAGGAACCAATGCAAGGCACCGGATCAACACAAACTGATATGAACAGAAATATGCAAAGACAACCACGCAGAGAACATGCTGAGAGAGGAAAAGGGGGCCGTTGTGCAACGGAATATCCCCACGGCAGACGAAAGATTCGACCCAAGAGACTTTGGGCAAAACCTCGACTTCCGGATGCCCAAAGCAGACGAAAATTTTGAAACAGCTGGCTTTGAGCAGCATGCTGCAATGCAGCATTAAATCCCCGCCATGATACCAAGCGAGATCTGCGGAACCTACAGAAGTGAACAGACAAGCACATAGACAAGACAACGTGATATAACGGCAGAATACAGCAGCCAGCAGCAGTTTTCAACACACCAAAGACCCGTAGTCAACCGATCTAGGGATTCAGGTATCCAGGCGAATACCTAGGATGCTGCGACCTAGAAGGTGGAAATATGAACACAATGACAGCTTTCGGTCGCAGCCAAGGTTCATCTGTGATATGTATGGAACACCCTTCTAACAGCGCACCACCCGGAACAATCTCTGGGTTCCCAGATAGAGTGTATATCGGAACCAGATACATTGACCGTGAGTTATTGATGATTGTTGTTGATTTAGTAAAGAGCCACATTGTCCAGTCCATATCCTAGTAATACATTATGAGTCTTATTAGCAATCCAAATAAGAAGATTGATCAAAATAAAATCAAGCGTAAGATAACCCTTACCTTAAACCCCATTTCGCTTACCATGTCTTTCAGTACTTCATTGGTGTCCTTCATGTTGTATTGCTTATTGTCCCCTTCATAAGACTCAGCATCTTTAGCAATTATCCTTTTTATTTCATTTCGCTTTTCTTCCGCCTTTTCAGTAAGTCGCGTCATTGCAAATTGTATTCGGGCACTCATTTGGAGGAAAAATGTAAACTTGGAACAGCAATCAAGGTTAGTAAATGCCTGGGTCGTGAATTTAGCTCATTTCTCGGAGTACGTCACAGTTAGATTGGATGATAAAAAGCGTTTCTTCATACATAGAGTATACTGTGTCGTATTGTGGAATGTTCAAATGGCAGTTAGTGATATGAGAACGTTGCGGGACAGAACAGAAGTAGTCGTCGCGGGAGAGACAGAGAGGGGTTTTCAAATATCCCACCAAAAAAGCGGTAACTAATCAGTGAAGTCAGCCACAGCAAATCAGTTTCTTAATATTCGTCCTAAAGGTAACTAAGTTGGCCACCGAATTTCACTATGATGCTGGATCCCGTGGTGAGCCCCGCTAGTAAGCTCGTCACCCAAGCTACAGTGGAAAATGGATGATGGGGGCCAACCTTCTTTAGATAACAGATTGTATCTTAGCATAATCTAAATTTACATGGACATCTACAATTCTATGGCCAAACATTTTATATGTAACTATATGGTTGTACGTCTACGGAAGCACACATTCATTGTTTCCAGTAGGGTTCAAGGTCAGAGCGTATCTGCAGAGTGCTGACTTCAGTAACTACTTGCATTCAAGCAAAAAAAGAAAGGAAAAGAAAAGAAAAGAAAAAAAGACGAATTGGCCTGATCCTATACTGGAGACAGAACATGATCCCAGATTGCAGTCACTTCATGGTAAAACCATGCCAACATCTGATCTACGTAATCTACACGAGAAACCAGAACTCCACGCTGTCTATGCTCCCCTGACACTGCTGAAATGTATCTTTGAGACCAGCCCTGCCATTACCAACGGCCTAGTTTGTCGTTCATTCTAAATGGCCTGAGGACTACAGATTAGCTGGACTAACCGTTCTGTGGACGTGGTAGGCGTGGCTCTGAAGGTCCATCTTGTCCCAGAGGACCACATCACAGCACAGGCACCTGATTGTGTTTTCATCTGGGGGTGCTTGGTCACTCAACTGTGGGTCGAGAATATATCCAGACAGATGAAGCAGGAGAGTGGCTGATAGCCCTTCATCACCGCCCCTGATGCGATTTCACTCTGGCTGGGAGATGGCAGAACGTGCACCTCCTCCATCCTTAACCTTTTCAAGTACCTGGGCGGTAGGTCTCTTGTCGTGCGGCAGTCGGCACGTATCCCCTCCCTCAAAGAGGCAGTATGCCGCAACCGTGTTGATCCTCTCTGTGTGTCAACGCATCTCATCCCGCAGCATCTCACAAGGCGGGGTAGGATGCACTGAGATCATTCATTGCTGCAAGCGCGGGACATTCTCATTGATGCTCCAAGACTCATCAAATATCTTTGAGAGCTCGATCCTAGACAGCTGTCTATTTATTTCACACAGGGACCCCTCGAAGTCAAATTTTTCCTGTATGTCATATAGGAGATTGTCTCTCACTCACTGGTGTGCGCCTGTCAGCTCACAGCTGCTCTTCTTGTGGAGCTCATACTTGACAGTCGCCTTGTGCTACTTGAGGGGTTGCCCAAGGGGTCTGCTGAGAAAATTCATATTTCCGGATGAGCTCATGAATGTGAGGCTGCTGGTTGACCGACCTTGACTGAGTTGTGGTCAGTTCCCGCAGTCAGTGCAGATTGACAGAGAAGAGCATCTGGCATGCAGCACACATGATATGTTTCATGCACGTCCAGACCCTGGATGATGACATAAACATCCTTGTCCACCTGTCTGTCGAGAGAGCATTTGAGAAACAGAGGTCTGAGTTCTAGAAGATCAAACTGTGAACAGCTTCGCTAACATGCTCTGCACAATAAAAGATGATGAGTGGCTGATGATCAGAACTCAGAGTCTTCTCTCTGATCAACACTTACTGCTGTTTTCTAGCCCCTTGTCAGCACTATACTACAAACTGTATAATTGAATGATGCTGTGAAATGCAGATATCTTCTCAATTTATCTAATGTAAAATTTAATAGTGCTGTACATTAAAGCATCAGTAATAAATATTTTTATCACTTTTAGCATTCACTCTGACTTTCAGAAAATTAAAATATTATTAAAGCTTAAATATTAATTTTAAAATTAATTTATTATTTACTCTTTATCAATATATTTAAAAGTTATTTATTTAATTTTAAAATATTTTTATTTAAATATTTTTTTATTTATAACTGAGTTTAAAATTATAAATTATTAAAAAATTAATTTTATATTATTATTATTATTATTAAATTTAATAATTAATATAATCTATAAATGAATCACTTTCTCACTCTACTATATAATAAAATATCTTTAAATCTTAGCTCAACTAAAATAGATACTGAATCTAACTCAATAAATTATTTAATAATTCCAAAGTGTATTCAAAGTTAAAGAAAGAAGTTTTTGAATTATATTCTTCTTTGGTAAAGAATAAATATCATTCAGTCTGCTAAAAAGAAAATACAGATGTTATTCTAGCAAAATTTAATAAAAAAATTTTATTTCTAAATCATATCAAATTATATCAATTTTAAATTATTTGAAAATTATTCTAAAAAATATAGTTAGTTCTAGATTGTATTTTTTATCTTCTACTACAATTTATTATATAATAATTAAATGAGAAGTAGAAACAAAACTCAACTATAAATAAAACTCTATCAGTTATTTATGATATTCAAACAGTTAAAATTGATAACTTAGTTTTCACTACTATATTTATTGATATAAAAGATGCTTTTAATCATGTTTCCAATAATAAAATGATTTCAATCCTGTAAAATTTGAAGTTATCAAAGTCTCTGATAAAATGAATTATCTATTTTATGAAAAAATAAAATATATAATTTTTATTTGAAATACTAAATTGGCAAAAGACTAATACTGAAATAGAGGTTTCTCAGGAATCTTCAATTTTATTCAATTTATTCAAGAATATGAATGAATACATAGTAAGAACTTCAAGCTATATTTATGATATAAATTTTATTATCAACTTTATATCTACTTAAAAAAATTATAAAAGTATAGAAAAAGCTATATAAAAAATCATTAAAAAAGAAAATAAAAATATAATTCAATTTGATATAAATGAACTGAATTGATTCACTTTTATTCTAAAATAATAAAAAAGACAAAATCATTACTCTTCAAGATAAAGTTATTAAACTCAAAGTTTTAACTTAAAGTTCACATTTAAAAAAAATTAACTCAGACTGAAAGAACTTTAAATAATATAGTTAAATCAAACTTCTCAAATACTGAAAGAGAAATGCAAATCACTCAATTCAAATGAAAATATCTATCTTCTCCTCATTAGATATATTTGATAAAAATTTGAATAAAAATAAATTTTTAAATTGAAATGAACACTACGAAAATTCTAGAAAAAATTTATCTTCTCAGTACTATAGAATAGATGCAATAATTAAAGATCAATTATCAAGTCTAGATGTAGAAAATATAAATCACATTAATTTTTATTCTAAAATATATATATATATATATATAAATTCATTAATAGAAATTTCTATAAGTGAACTCTCTATGAAAGAAAATGAAATATGCATATTTAAAAGTTACAAAAAATTAACAAATAAAAAGTTTTTATTAATATATTTATATGAATCAAAAAGTAAATAAAAGCAGATCTAATTTCATTATATTTAAAATATATTTAGAACATAAATTACATACTTAAAATCTTAAGAATGAATATAAAATCTTCAATACTGAGTTATTTACAATTCAAAAAATATTTACAATAACTTATAAATTTGTTCATAAAGAATCTATTATCAAAAATATATGAATTTTTTCAAACAATTAAACAGCAGTTTGTTAGGGAGCGAATGCGAGCTGCATAAGAAGAAAGACTCTCTGCATTGCTAACTGCTATATAATGAAATACTAAGCTTGATGGGATGAAAGGGGGTGCTGGGGGCCTGCGTGGATTATAACCACCTGCATGGTCATGTAGTCGCGTGATATGGATTAGGCCTAATCGAGCGACCTGCATGGTCGCATGGTCACATGATGTGGGTTAGGCCTAATCGGGCGCCGAGCTTAATCCGACATCGAGTCTAACCGGGCACCGGCCTTCAGTTGGGCTCGGTCGGACGCTGAGCCTAACATCACCCCCTGGTCTAGGGGCAGGCATGTCCTCATGCTGGTAGGTCGTCATCAACCTCATCCTTCAGGTAGCTGTCTGTCTCCCATGCCTTCAGCCACTCATCTAGTCACCTTGGAGGTCCAGCTTTTGTAGAGTTAGCCTCATGGAAGTCATGTATGGCATGTGATGATTCTTTGAAGTTGTGAGTGGAGTATCATGAAGAATTCTCATCAAATCCCTTTTGTTAGGCTCAGCGTCCGACCGAGCCCGACCGAAGGCCGGTGCCCGGTTAGACTCGACGTCGGATTAAGCTCGGCGCCCGATTAGGCCTAATCCATATCACGTGACCACACGACCATGCAGGTGGTTATAATCCACGCAGGCCCCCAGCACCCCCTTTCATCCCATCAAGCTTAGTATTTCGTTATATAGCAGTTAGCAACGCAGAGAGTCTTTCTTCTTATGCAGCTCGCATTCGCTCCCTAACACCTTTCAGTGCATCTGATACTGCAGCTTGCTCTGACTTATTCTACTGGTCAGTATATGATCTATTTCTCATTCATTCTCACCATCTATTTCAATTGGGTCTGGTGATCTGATAGTCTGGCCAGGTAGAGGATCTCTGAAGTCCTTGTGTAGCTTGTCTGAGGAGAAGATTGAATGAATCTTCATTGTTATGAGAAGGTTCAGTTTGTAGGCATTGTCCATCTTTTCCAGAATTCTGAAGGAACTGGCATTCTGCTCTGTCAGTTTACAGCTTGATCAATTCATCTTGTATGATTTCAATGTTAGATAAACAAAATCTTCTACTGCAAAGTCAGACTCTTGATGATGCTTGTCAGTCTGTCTCTTCATTTGTTTCTGTGCTGTCTTTATGTCTTTAC